CTGTCATTTGGGGTTTTACATTGGACTCGTTACTGTCGTCGCTCGCATTCGCAGTAGGTGTGCTACCTCGTCAAACAAACGTTGTATGGGCGGGATTCTGTGTAGCTGTACGGCTCGTTCGTGATGTTAACATGTCTCGTCCTATTTCTGGAGTTATTTCATCTTTTGTGAGGCTTTCCTCATTCATTTTTCTCGCTTTTTCTTTTGTTCTTTTCGTGTATATAAATGGAGGAATTGTTTTGGGTGATGCCTCGGCGCACCCAACGTTTGCATCTCGCGCAGTTTCTCTGTTCTCAGCTGTACATGCTTGGCCTCACGCTATTCCTCGACTTCGTAGCTTGCTCTCCAAAGTTGTGCACCCGCTTTCAGCTTTACTGGTTGTTTTCAGTCGCTTTATCAGCTCATTACTTTGCATTTGACCACCCATATCTCTTGGCCGACAATCGACATGTGACATTCTATCTGTGGCGGTGGTGGCTTCGAGTTCCTGCTCGTCGCGTACTTTTAACTCCTCTGTTCGTTGGCTCTTTCATATACATACGTGATCTCAGCAATCATGTCTCGCCCCTTGTACGCATACTTTTTTGTCTTGTGTTCTTTGCTGTGGTCGTACCAGCAAGAAGAAAAAAAAAAACCGAACGGCAAAAAAAGGGGGGGGGGGTCGTACCGAACCCCCAAAAAAAAGGGGGGGGGGGGGTCGTACAGGCTCGACCAAAATCCCCATCGAATGCTGTGCCCTGAATGGAGTCGTTTCGCTTATTCCCTTGCCGTGCAGCTACGTGCAGCATGTCGACTTTGACCAGGCAATCAGGTTGTCAATCAATCAAAACGTGGACGCTACAGCTAAGCCGAATGAAAGGTGCAGGAAAGATCCACTATTAATGTTTCTCAGATGCTCCTTCATAAGCAGTCAAAGTGATGCCTCCCTTCGTCGCCGTGGAGCTCAAACAACCTACACTATGTAGACTCAAGGTCGCCTTGCTTCGCTGATGGACGCGGATCAGCCGGTGCCTCAGGAAGTCCGGGGATTACCAGCTGCAGGCTCGCTTCTCAGCGTCTATTTCCTCTGAAATCTCTTGCGGCAATTTAGTCACCAGTGCCTTAAGCATTTGATCAATAATTGGGTCTTTATTTCGTATTTCGCTGCTGTATAGCAATCAAAATTTCTTTGAAAACTTGGAGGAATCTTCGTGAGGGAGATCTTCCCTTTCAACTTCGAGGTCTGGCCGCTTGGCAGACGAATTTCCCAGGGTCACCAATGGAGTCGTTTCGCTTATTCCTTGCCGTGCAGCTACGTGCGGCATGTCGACTTTGACCAGGCAATCAATTTGTCAATCAATCAAAACGTGGACGCTACAGCTAAGCCGAATGAAACGCTAAGGGAGATTGCCGGAGCAAATAGTCGAATTCAGCAAAACTGACAAGGAAAATCAGGAAATTGAAATCGCAGTAAACAGATTCGTAGTAAGAGACTGAAAAAACAGATCTGAAAGCAAAAGAAACTCACCTATCCACTGGAGAGGTCCAGAGCGCGACCGTCCGCGGGGGTCCAGAGAGGCGAATGAGGACTTCTCCACCTTTCCACCCGAATCTCCCC